CCCCCCCCCCCCCCCCCCCCCCCCCCCCCCCCCCCCACTCAAAACCATACATCTGTTCTGGTGAGTTCTGGTGCTTCCTGTAGTTAGGGGAGGAGCGTTGATGATGTCATATGACCACATGGTATGGTCGGCACGCAGCGTGGATGACTCAAACCAAGTTTGGTGTATTTTAGCCTTTCTGTGTGAGTTACAGATTTCTGAAACTGTGAGGGACTGATGGATGGATGGATGGACAGAGAGCATTAGTATGTCCCCACCTCGGAGACGAGTGACAAAAAAGGAAACTGATGCTTGAAGAAAATAAAGCAAAGTAAAAAACTCATTGATCTGGAGTTTTATTAAGTAACTTTTATTTTTTATTTATTTTTGTCTGATCGTTGTAGAGTCAGAGGTGAGAAATGTTTCAACATTTACAGGAAAACATTGAATGAACCTTTTAAAACAGAGTTCTGTGCATCATTTATGCACGTTTACAGTAGAAGATTTCAACTGTTTGGAGCTATATTTGAAATAAAAACAATAAAGATGCATCGTGAACCCAGTACCTAAAATTAACCATCAACTCTGATCCCTAAAATTAACCACTGACCCCAACTTAAAGACCCATATCTTTTGCGTCCTGGCGYGTTAAAATAAGACCCAGAGGGAGCCTGACCAAGCATCAATGTATGACGAGAGTTGGGAGTGGGAACGTGTTACACTAACAGGTGTTACAAAGTTAAAGCTTCACCTCACTGATCAAATCATTAGAAAACCTGTTTAGGACTTTATTTAATTTAAACAACAAACTTCAATGTTTCCTTTTCCTGTCTGTTTCAATCATCTTTAATTTGTCCTCTCTAGTTTCCACAAGACCAAACCTCAAAGTAAATCTTGTGTAAAAATAATAAAATCACATGTGGATCCACTCAGTGAATATAGTCCTAAATGTAGTCATTAGGAAATCCTTCAGACAGCAGTCCAGCTGCAGGAACACAGAATCTGACTGCAGGTCAAATCAACCATAGTTTTCAATCTGTGCAATTTATTTGCTTGTTTGCAGCTTGTTACAGAACTCTGACAGATGGGATCAGCTTAAAGAGCAGATTTAAGTGGACTGAAGAGGGAATTTAATGCTGGCTGGATGGATGCACTTGAAGTGAACAAATTGCTACTGAAGGGAAGCTGTTTATTACAAGGTCAGATTTGTTGTTTTATTACTGGATGCAGCATTTTAACAAATAACYAGCTGAGTCTCAATCAAATTTGGCAGCTGCTCTTTTTTTAAACAATCCAAGCACTCTGAAACAAAAACTCCTGAAAGGATTAATAAAATCCTGCACTTCATTTGAAACGTGTGTGGCAGCATCGGCGAACAAACATTGCTGTTAATGAGGTTCTCCTTTAGCAGACAATGGAGAGGAACATAATCCTCCTTCCACAATTATGAAGAAAAGAGCCACTGAACAAAGGCTTACACCCTCTTACCATTCGAAGTCATGAGCGCGGCAAATGCAGGACTCGGCTGAGAGAATTCTGGAGTAGTCCTGTCCCAGCATGCAGTAGTTTCCAGGCCTGCGTTTCATGTAAATCTGCTTCTGACCCATCACACACGGCTCGCCCTGTCGGCACGTAAATGAGCTGTTTAACAGAAAGATTTTACAGCCTGAACATATCCAACGCCCCTGCAGGGATGGAGGGTTAGCTTCACCTGGTTGTGCAGGTGCCAAGTCTGGTAGTCCTCCTCCGTGCACTTCCTGCTGAAGATGGACTTGTAGTCTATCTTGATGAGCTGCCACTCAGAGCGGTGACTGAAATGTCCAAAAAAGCTGCAGAGACAACAARTATCAGGGAGTCAGCCTGTTAACATTCAGCGAAACACCCGCGTGCCGTTTTTATTTCATTTTATTTTGAAAGTACGTTCTGCACAGCAAAAACTGTCCATCTTACCAAGTTTTAAACTCTTATATCAGCCAAAAAGTCTTTTTGATCTTGTTTTSASACTGATTTACTAAACAAGAACTGATTGTGTAAGAATAATCATCTTGTTTTCAGAAYGTGTAAGATTATTTGTCTTGTTAGTCTGAAAATAGTCCTAATTGTGTCCCTCATACTGCACCGTACCACAAGGAACCACACGTAACACCTTCAGTACTTACGTCATGATCTGGTTCTCTGCTCCAGCCTCCACCAGGACTCCATCCACAAACAGAGGGACRGAGGAGAAGCTGTGCTGGCTCCACTGCCTCCCCTCGTCAAAGCTGACCCTGTATCACAACACATCCCCGTCACAAACCCAGCAGCAGCAGAGCCCCCCTCCTGGTCAGCGGGGAGGGTTTAGGTGGGCTCATCATCAGCGGCTTGTCTCAGCAGAGGACTCTACGTGTAATTAGCTGCTGTAGCTTTGTGTAAATATCAAAAGGCTGAGCATTAAAGGGACGTTTAAGAGACAGTGAGCRTGGCCAACAAAGCAAAGCTGCAGAAAACTGAAAACATGAAAAGAGAAAAGATTTTAGTGTCAAAAAGAAAAAAAACCTCACTTTCTGAGTATAAAGTTGGCACGAAGGTGAGAAAACAAGACAAGAATAGAAGTGTTTCATGTTCAAGCACAAAAGTGCAGAGGGAGACTGAGACAGCAAAAAAAAGGAAAATAAAGCTGGACAGCTTTCATCATCAGGTCCTGGTTTTATTGATTCTGACAGCTTATCAACATCGCTGCTGAGGTGAGAACAACTAGAAGTAGCAGGATTTGACATGAACTGAAACACTGCTGAGGCCTGAGCTGAAAAAATAAAAATCCCCCTGTGTTGCCTCAAAAAGCTCTGTGCTGTCACTCAGATAAAAGCTGGGCGAACAGAAGAAGCACTGATGTGAACCTGTTACAGGATTCAGCCAGAGGAGGTGTTTAACCCGACACCAGCTGTGAAAACAATACGTCTCCATCACTGCTGCACTTCTTTTTTTATTTTAACTACTCTCCCATCCTGCTTAAATTGGGTGGGAGACAAAAACCCAGAAGGCCACACTTCACTGCTTCTAGAACTAATTTCAAAATTGTTGCAAAAGCGACTGGAGAAGAGATCTGGTCTCACTTGGATTAGGCTGCACTGAAGCAAAGCATAAGCATCCGATTTGCCAAGAGGAAGGTAACTCGTTAATGGAAACACTAAAAAAATGTGTGTGTTGGTGTGTGTGTGTGTGCATGTGTGTGTTGGTGGGGGGGTTACACTTCTGCTTACTTATGATAAGTGGCTTGCAAAAAAWGCTCTTAAATTAGATTGCTTTACTTTTTTCCACGGGCTTCAGTCAAAGTGCAACAGTAAAAGGATCAAGTTTCTTAAACCATAAAGGTTGATTTAACCTCAGAATAAAGATATAAAATATAAAAAAAGAAGCCATCTGAGCAAATATCAACCATACRTACCATAAATGTCTGGTCGGCACTGATGGCTGTTTTACAGCAACGAGGGCTCCGCCTTTGTCCAAAAACCAGATATTGTGCTCCTCCTCAAAAATCTGAGCAAATACAAGAAATAAAAGCGTATTTAAAAAACTAWTTAATGCTAGGAAATAAATATTCCATTTTATTTAATGATGCAAACCAGGGGTGTCACTAGGTTTTAAGGACAAGGGGGGCTTAGCCCCCAGGAGATGCACTGTATATGACAT